GAAACCAGACATACATGAAGTATAAACCCTTTCAAGCAAAGACCAAAATTTTCTGCAAGCATCAGACTAAACGCAGATGTTATCTTCATATGGGAAAAAAAAAAGACTCAATCAGACATATGATTGCTGACTGCAAAGACAGTTTTTGCATTTCCGCTGTTTCCAAACTGTTTCTATAATATGACATTTTTAAGACTCACTGGTCAAATACCTGTCAGGAGTGACAGGTAACTCTAAGGCTTGGAAATGGACAAGATGGTCTTTGACAACTCTTCCTCCCTTACATTCTGCAATTCTATTAAGAAGCTTTGATGCACTAACAAATTAAACATTTAGCAACTCTTAAAAAAATTATACCTTCAAAACAGTTATTGTATTGTCACTTTATTCTCCAAACTTAAATAGTATAAATGTAAAAAGGATCTTTCCTATTTGTCACACCATTTTTAAAATTTAGACATAAATTCTAGTACCTGCTACATAAATAGCAGAAAATAATGGTGTCACAATGGACTGAAAGGTAGAAGAATAAGAAAACAATTTGTGGCATGCTAAGTCTTCATGACATTCCTGAGTCCTCACTCATTTCAAAAGGGATATGTATGCAGCAGCGCACAGTCATGATCATCCACATTTTTATTTTATAAAAATTTAACAAATTTTAGTGATTTTTAAATTAATATTCTATATTGACTATATTTCTGAAATATTAATAACCTGTTGCATGCTAAGTGTTTTAAATCCAAGCATACTCATTGTTTTAACCAACACCAAAACTACTGCTGCACACACATGGTTTTAAGAAAGAAAGTCTTTTAAGCACTGAATGGCACAAAACCTATTTCTAAACACAAAGGAAATTAAAATGAACATTAATCCAATCTTTATGTCTTTTTCTGAGTTAACAAAAAAACTTGATTAATTCAAATCGAATTGCTAATTGAGTACTACTTTGTAATGCATGTGGTGATGCTTAGAAACTAACACAATTATTAGCACAACAATTGCCAGCAGAGCAGAACTGAATTTGGACATGGGGGAAATGACTGGGTGAAAAACCAGTTAAATTATGTTGTGTTTCTTGGTCCTTCACATAGCTATGATCCTCAAAAATACAAAATACAATCAACTCATAATCATCCAGATGTGGACCATGAAGGTTTAGGTCACAGATAAAGGTCAGGACACTGCATCAGGTATTTCAGGTTTGGTCAGGTTCTTTAGTTTAAGTTTAGTCATTTGCATTTTGAAAACAACTACACTGTTCTCTTTACTCTTTTCAGCCAACAAATAGTTGAACAGCCTCTGCAGGAGAGATAGGCAGACATTCCTAGCATAGGCTGTAGCCAAGCTGCCTGCAAGAGGAATAATCAGAGCTTGTTTTCTAGCAGCAGCAACCTTGTTCAGTAGCACAGCACCTTGATGCCTACAGACATGAGAGGGCCAGTGTTCACCTGCAGCTAAAAATCCTATCTAGATGGAAGATGCCTTGCTGTGGTCTATATGCCATGCTCTCCAGCATGCTGGGTTAGGGAAAGACCACTTCAAGCGTGAAAACAGGAAAATGCAGAGAGCAGCCTTGCTAATGGGCATTCTCATGGATTTGAACACTAGGATAAAGCACTCAGCTAAGGGCAATCTAAATGAACTAGCTCAGACCAAGCACTGTTAATGAATTCTGACTCCCTATTAGCCCAAGCTAACATGGAATAGGGAGACACTCCATAGATCAGAAAAAAAATGCTGGACCTTTTTTTCCTGTTATCTAAGCATCATCATCCCCATTGCTCTGAGTAACTGTGAATTGATCTGAATACATGGATTCGCACATATTAATTTTAAAATGAAATGGGTATTCTAGGGACATCATTGATACAAAAATGAAAATAAGCTTAAATTCCCAAAGAACACAGAGAGGCATAGAGAAAGAATGTGACAGAATATATATGCCTTATGCACAGATCAGAACTACAGAAACTGAGAAAAGGAAGTTGTTCTCACCATCCAGGTAATCTACCACGTGTGCCCATTTTTAATATATTTTCAGAGTAGTAAAAGGTACAAATGGCTCATATATTGTAATATATTTCTAGCTGATGGACTCCAGTTATAAAACTTACACTTTCCTCTACCACATTCAAAAGATAGGACTGAACAGAATATTCATCATTCTATATTGTTTTAGGTATATGAATATTTTACATTAAAAATGTGGCAATGAGAGAAAAGGTTAAAACCTTTTAGGATATCTACAGTAAATGAAACAATAATGGATGATGCCCATGAAACACATGTTTCCAAAGTAACAAAAGTGACTTATTTTCACTGCTTTCTAAACAGACAAAATACATTTTTCAAATCTATATACTTCAAAAAGCAATCAAATTATTGTTTGGCGATACATGCATCTCTTCAAAGGAAAATATTAGACAATTCATTCGTTAGATCAACTACTCTTTTGAGACTTGCCTTGGAACACAGAAAATTCAAATTTGCTACTGGTTTGTTTGGTGACTTTACACCTCTTCCAACCCAGAGGATGAAAATATAATATTGATCACCTTGAAATGAAAGGTGCAACGTGCATTATTAATGTTAATAAGAAAGAATCATTGCCATTATTCTTAATTAGTTTGGGTCTTCTGTAGCATGTATTATGTCAGCAACCTTAACCTTTCTGAACTGAACACACAAACTCTATTAAATACCTGCCACCCCTATATCTGTTTCTGTTTTAACATAAAAAGTTTCTGTGGAAAACTAGGAAATATAAGAATTTGTGTGGGGAGCTGATGATGATTCTTGTACTGGGATTATTTTCAAGCATGGTTTGTATGCTATACTTACCACACAAGGTAACTAACTGTACTTCGTCTCTACTGACCTGCCTTCCAACTGCCTATTTACCAGCTACCAAACTGTAGTTTAAAACTAGTTATAAAACAAATTCCACTCTGGCTCCAAAAGATCTCTGTTCTTCAGTTCCATATACAAGGACAGAGAGTACAGTCCTTATTTCAGAAACATTCACAATAGAACACAACTGGGATGAAAAAGGAGGCCACAAGTACATTTCAGTAGAGAAAGTATATAAGCTAGCTAGCTTCAACAAAACATTGAACTACATGGCAAAAACACCAAATTCTCTGACACCATGGAAAAATGACAAATTACTTGGGTGTGGACTTGCTGGGGCCTTGACTAAGATGAATTAGGCTGTCTACATCTCACAGAGCTTTCATTTCAGGAGCAGCTGCTTAAAATTCGTCCAAGCACTTTTAGTCAGAACATTGCCCTTTTTTTTATTTTTCAAAAGGCAAACTTTTCAGCAATAATTATTCTCCTTATTAGAAATCCTTCTACTTTATAAAGTTTTCCTAAATACCAGGAAGAAAGAAACAACATGGCTCCTTCTGATTCAAAGCCCTGTAACATGCCTCTGAAATTTCAAAGATCCTAGCCTGATTTATTCTTATTTACAACATTTGCAAAATTAGGTCTCAATACTAAGCCATATTCCCCTCCACTTCTTCAGTGTTCCGGATCTTTGTCAGAATCTCTTGCTCTTTTAATTGCATAATAAAATATCAGTTGGAACTAGAACTGCAGTGTTTCCTCCTTGAGAAACTAGCCATTATTGCCTAAAATACACAGGCAGTTTTGTAGATAGGTGTATTTTCCAAGTATTTATACAAAACACAAGTATTCTAACTTCTATGTAAAACTATCCATTCTATCATATCTCACAAATATCTGGGTAGGGCATTCTTTTCTCAAAGACACAATGACTCCATCAAAATCCCAAATCTAGCATCTTTATAGCACTTTTTTTTTCTGCAAATTTCATCACAGTTGTGCAAGAGAATGACTATACCAAGATACAAAAGATAATGGCATACAACAAGCTTCCCAATCTTTAGGTTAAGAAAATTTAAATTAAAAACACATGGGGAAAGTTGCTTATAGTGTTTTAAGTTACAAATCCTACTCTGTTATCTTTCTTTCAAACCAATACCTCTTACATTTTAAAAGGCAGTGATTTGTTACAGTTTGCTGGTAGGTTTTGGCATTCTTTTTACCGGAAAAAAATGGTGTAATATAAATAATGACCTTAGACTGATAGGTCAAAAAACTCCCGGAAAAATATTAACTATTGATACAAGTTACTTGTTTTTGGAAGGTGAAGACTAGGATGTTTGGGGCCAGATATTCTAGAAAACCTTTTTCCTATGCAGAGGTTCTTTGTACAAGCTACCAAGCCCTGATAAAAGGAATCCAAGAGATACAATATCTGAACAGACAAGAGTGGCTGTGTAAATTATAACTTTTTATTGGAATTATCATATCAATTTTCAAAGAGCAGTTTTGCTACACAAAAACATTGCCCATGTATTTTTAAATAAATTCTCTGAGATCATATATGATATGTAAACTACTGATGTTCTTCATGAAGGATGCTTAAAATACAGCCTGCAGCAAATGGAAGAACTGTAAGTATTTCTGCAGAACTGTATCAGAGAGTTAGAAAACAAGACAAATACCTTATCAGCATCACTGGTCTGTATTTTGCAATCTGTAATTAAAAATTTTATTCTTGTAGGTTCCATTTTCTAGGTGTCATTGTTTTTGAATCATACATAAGATTATCAACTTGTTCCACCCTAATCAAGCGTACATTCTTCTATTCACAAACCACTCACAAGTGTGCCCTAATAATTAAATGTTATCAAATATTATCAAAACTGTAAGAACCTCCATAACAATGCCATTTTCCAACATAGAATGACATTGGGTTTTAAGATACTGTCATTTTTCCCGCATGATAATTTCCAAAAAATTAATGATTACCCTGTTGTAAATAAATTTAAAAGACTGCATGGAAAAATGTTACAGGAGGATGGGTCTTTTAATTTTGATTCATTTTCTGCTTTGCTGCACCTTATTTTCTCAGATATGGAAAACAACAATAACAAAAAATAAATCCTAATGCATGTACTTACTTGTGATAAAATGGAATGTTGATGGCAAGAAGTTACTGCATTTCGGTTAGCCTCCATGAAGTACTACTGGGTTCATCTCCTCTCCCAATCCAGTTTCTTCTCCAGCATGAGATGAGAGGTGGATAAAACATCCAGATATTTCATCATTACATCAGGCAGCAGTGAGCTCACTTCCACTATGTCTGGATGTGCCTCTGCATCAGGAATCTAGCAGCTACAGGAAGAACATTCTCTATTTACTTGTTTCTTTTCCACCATTGAATTCCTGCCCTGGTATTTATGGAGTTATGCCAGCCAGCACTGCCCCCTCATCCTGCCTGGTACACTTTGATGCTGGGCAGCTTTGGTGTTGCCACAGCACAGCCTCCAGCATCAGCTGGCACAATTATCCTTGACACTGACCCAAAGAGAACTGCTACTGGGAACTGTGCCTGTGCACTCCCAGCCACACTAAGGAGTGCCTGGAGCCTTCTCCTAGGATGAGGGAGATGGAGTCAGCCTTGTGGGGACTATGCTCTGGCCAAGGCACCACACCACTGGACAAAGCAGCTGTGAAGGAGAGGCACATCCTATCAGGAGGATTTATTTACAGGAGACTGTCAGAATCTCCACAGAGACAACACTCTTGAAACAATGCAAAGGAAAAGGAATATCTAAAATTTGCTATCAAAGGAGCAGTGGAAGAAGGCTCTCAAGAGGAGGTAGGCTGAAGACTTGTGACTTCTGCCAAGAGAAGGAAAGCTTTTCCTCTGACTACAGAGGAATAATTGCAGAAGAGGTATAGAGACCTAGGAACAGGTAAGGAAGAACAAGGCCCAACAGAGGACACATCAGAGCCAGGTGAGTCTGCACCAAGTGTTCACAAATAAGATGCAGTAGCTGACAGTCATTTGAGGCTGAGGGAACAGAGATATTTATCTACTTCATCAATTTGATGAATGTGATGGCTGTTGCTTGGATTCAGGACATTGTGGAGGTACTACTGAGACTCATCCTGGCTCATTACTTCTTGCTCCTCATGTGGGCATTGTGTTGCTCACGTGGGCACAAACAACATTATTAGTGCCAACTCTGAACACACTGAAAGTGACCATAGTGCACTGGGGTTAAGAGTGGAGGGCAGGGAACAGAGGGGGTGTTCTGAATTCTATCACTGAGGATAAAAGGCTTAAATCTGAACACACTGAAAGTGACCATAGTGCACTGGGGTCAAGAGTGGAGGGCAAGGAACAGAGGGGGGTTTCTATCACTGAGGATAAAAGGCTTAAGTCAGGCTGCAGTCCAACACCCGACAATGTGTAGTCAAAAGTTTAATAGTGAGGATCAGAGGAGCAGACCAACATGGGTGACATTGTGGTAGATGCCTGCTATAGACCACACCAAACCAGAAAGAAAGTCAATGAAGGCTTTGCTGGACAGATGGAAGAAGCTTCATGATTCCAGACACTTTGATATCTGCTGATGGGATAATATGGCTGAGTGCAGCAACCAGGAGGTTTCTGAAATCTGCTGATGACAATTTCTTGATGGAGCTGAAAGGCACTCTTCCAGAACTGTCACTCTCAGACAAGGAAGAAAGAGCAGGGGTGTGAAGATCAATAGCTCTTGATCTTACAGCAACCATCAGAGATTGTGGAGTTCAAAATCCTGAGAGAAGTGAGATTGTATGGTTAAAATACAGGACTTCAGGAGAACAGAATTCAGCATGTACAGGAGCTGAAAGGCACTCTTCCAGAACTGTCACTCTCAGACAAGGAAGAAAAGAGGCAGGGATGTGAAGACCAATGGCAGTCTCTTGATCTTACAGCAACCATCAGAGATTGTGGAGTTCAAAATCCTGAGAGAAGTGAGATTGTATGGTTAAAATACAGGACTTCAGGAGAACAGAATTCAGCATGTACAGGGGATCTTCCTGGTAGAATCTCACAGAAGACTGCCATGGAAGCTAAAGCTTGGGAAAGCTTGGGAAAGCAAGCTAATGACAATTTCTTGATGGAGCTGAAAGGCACTCTTCCAGAACTGTCACTCTCAGACAAGGAAGAAAAGAGGCAGGGATGTGAAGACCAATGGCAGTCTCTTGATCTTACAGCAACCATCAGAGATTGTGGAATTCCTGAGAGAAGTGAGAGAGTGAGATTGTATGGTTACAACACAGGACTTCAAGAGAGCAGAATTCTGCATGTACAGGGATCTTCCTGGTAGAATCTCACGGAAGACTGCCATGGAAGCTAAAGCGTGGGAAAGCTTGGGAAAGCAAGCTAATCTTCAGGGACATCTCAAAGCACCAGAACAGCCCAATTCTGCATGTGAGAATCAGGGGTGCACTACACAGGAAAAATACAGGTATTGCCCAAAGGGCAGAGTTAGGAAAGCCAAACTTCAGCTGAAGCCGAAAAAGTTGAAACTAGCATGGATGGGGAAGAAAGAGGAATGGCCAGCAAAAGACAGACTATGGAAAATGTGGACCCACTAAGCAACCTAGTGACAAACGACGTGGAAAAGTTTGGGACACTTGGTCCCTCTTTTGCTTCCGTTTCCATTGAGAAATTTTGACTATAAGGGTTTCAGATCTCTGAGCCTACCTGTAGAATCTATTAGCATGAGGCATTTCCATATAGCAGAAAATACAGTGGAAAAGCATTTAAGCCAATTGGACGTAGACAAGCCCATGGGACCAAATGAGAAGAGTCTGAGGGTGCTGGTTTGATTGGTCAATACCACTATCTGTCATGTCTAAAAGGATCAAACAGAGGTTCCTGGAAATTGATAAAAGTTGAATATCATACACATTTCAAGAAAAGCAAGAGGGAAGATTCAGGGAGCTGGTAGCCAGTCAGCTTCACCTCAGTCTCTGGGAAAATAATAGAGCAATTTCCTCTGGAAGTAATTTTCAAGCACAAAAATAAGAAGGTGACTGGGAACAGTGAGGATGGATTAACCAAACAGCTGTTATACCTGACTAGGCTGATCACTGTCCATGATGAGATTACTGTCTGAGGACAAGGAAAGAGAAATAAATGCTGGAGGTACCCTTATTTTAGCAAGATTTCTGTTTGACATGGTATCCCACACTATCCAAAGGACTATAAGGCAGGAAGATAATTGGCTGAACCTCCTGGCTCAAAGAGATGCCATCAGAAGTACAAAGTCAGCTGGAAGTGGCTGGAAGTATCATGCTCCAAGGACTGATGTTGGGTCAGTACTATTTAATGTCTTTATTAATGATATAGATCATGGGAGAGAGTGCATTCTTCAAAGGTTTGTGAACAATTAATTAGTTGCAGGGATACATGGGCAGGGCAGTTGTCAGAGGGACGTGAACCACCTATTCTCAGATCTGATTGCTACCTGCATAATGGGAAGGCATGGCCAGATCCTTCTCAGGGGTGCAAAGTGTTAGAGCAAGAGGCAAGAGACGTAAGTTATACCACAGGGAAGTCAGGATTGATCCAAAAATTATTATTATTACTATTACTTTTAATCACAAAGGCAGACAAACACTACAGAGGGCCCAGAGAAATTGTGGAATCTCCATCCTTCAATGCAAAACTGACATAGACAAAATCCTGAGCAGTGCGCAACCATATGTAATTGTATCTGCATTGAGCAGGATGGACTAGACTCTTCCAGGGGTCCCTTCCAATCTAAAATACTTTAACAGGTCTATGTTAAAGGCACCCTAGGTAGTTGTTTAGTAATGGTAATAATATATTATTAGTTCTATTTTTAAATCCCCAGAATATTTTGTATGCGGGAAAGCTGCTAGGGACAGTCCTCCATGTACAAAAAAAATTCCTAAATCTGTTGTTAACTCCAATGAATCTGGTAATTTACTATGATTTCCTTGCACAGTACCATTGACCTGCTAACACAAACATTCCCAACACTCTCCTTCAAAGAAGATGCCATAGAATGACTTATGATTTCTAAAGCAGTTCTTTCTAAGTAAAACACAACTGACATGCAAAGTAGCACTTTTGAAAATGTTTTACAATACTTGAACTTCTTGATTTTAATATTTTTGTTTAAATTTGCTTAAATGTGTTGATTAATTTCACAAATTTTCATAAATTTAAAATTTATTTTTACTTTAAATTTTGTATTTCTTTTAAAGAGGTGCAAGTTTTCACCCTTAAAAAATACTTTGGGTTGGGGTTTCTTTTTGATATTTTTATTTTAATTCACTGAAACTGGGCAAAAGTTCCAAGACCAATGGGAGCTAGAAGAGATTTTTAATAAGTCCTATATCCATTTCCCATGCATCTAGAAATTATTTATGACTAAACACCAAGTAGGTTGTTGTTCAACTCTGAAGGAATTTGACGGCTATGATTCCAGAAATTCCTTTAGTAGCTTAAAGCAATAAAACTGTATTTTAATAACAATACTAAAGAAAGCAATGATAACACTAAATAAAAATTTACAGTTGCAACAAGAAGCTTTCAATATTTCTTCAAATCATTATCAAGAAATTATCTTTTTACTTACAACATTCACCTTTGAAATGTTTTCTGTTTTATTAATTTGAAAATAACATCTTTTCTGTTAATGTTTCCTCATCTATATAACTAAAATCTCATTATTACTGATTTTCTTTAATGTTTTTTATTCTTTCTATATAGTTCACAAAGCATAAGCAAAAACCTAAACATAACAAACCATTTAAGATTTAACCCATAGTAAAATATTTTATTAAAAACAATACCCCCAAAAAAATTAACAGTAACAAAAAAAAACACTTTAAATGTAAAGATTTTAATATTTTCATTAAAATTAATTTTAGACCCTCTTAAATTTGAATGTTAGTTCTATTAGCTCCTGTACGCTCCATTGTTGCCCTTTATCCACAAGGTCTTTAAGTAACAGAAACCTTTCTGTACACTAAAACATACTATAAAAACTTTAGTTTATAACCTTACACAAACCTTTTCTGTAATGTGCTTTTTAGAGACAGAAGTGAATGTCTGAATGAGAAAGTATAAGCATTTTTGTACTAAGTGGGTTTTTTTTCTAAAATGGAAAAATCAAGGGAGCTAACTAAATCTGTAATTCACTCTATACTTTGCCTTACACATTACATTATCTCCAGGAAGATACATAAACATAGCTAAGAAATTTGTGAGTGAGTGTAGCAAGTACAGGCTAATCATTTCCTCCATTACTTTGTTAGCTCTGCTGCTGCACTAACAGAATTATAAGGTAGGGAAAAACATATTTATATCAGTCAAATTACAGAAAAAACTATGAACATGCTCATACAATGATCTATAAATAACATATTCTAATGGGGTTATTTCCTTGACCACAATCTGCATTTGAAAATTACTCAAATTCTGGATTTTTACTGGGGAAAAAATGATATGTAGGGAATTAAGTACAGCGCTGATATTGTTAAATGTAAATTTCAGTACTGAATTATAAAGTCTATACTGGCTAAGTGAATGCCCTGACTAGACTGGTATGAGTTTTCCAGTTGCATGTGTGCAATAATAACATATACAACTATGTTGTATATGTTATTATTGCTGTAAGGAGATAGCTCTGCTTTTCTTTAAATCCAAAGATATTTCCTATTCAGAGACAAATACTGGCAGTTGCTAAAGTCTGTAAACTGTCACATTATCTCTGCTGGAAGCATACAAAACAAAAACATCTTTACGGCAGAATATCAAAATAAAATGAGTAATTACCTCTTAATGGTAAATGAGACTTTTTCAGAGTACAGTCCTTCTGGCACAGGTTCATACAAAGCCCCTACTATCTGAAAAATAAAAAAAAATCTTCAGTTTGTTGAAAAATACTTCAGTATTTATATCAGCTTCCAATATAATAAGTGTTGTCCCTTGAAACTATCTCATGAGCCTTACATCCTCAGCTCTAACTTGCAGAACAACTTAATTACAACATAATTACACTCAAAAGGTTGCATGTGTCATTCACCAGCCAAATTCTTTAAGGGGAAGTACAATGAATAGATTTTCAACTTTTGCTACACTTCTTCTCACAACACTATGGGTTTATATTTTGTTCACTTGTCCTTTTCACTCACACTGTCTTTGGACTTACTGGACACAAATCAATCAAAGCATTTAGAAATGGCTTACAATTATGGCATTTCAATAAAACAGATTAGACAACCAATAAGTATGGCACCTCATCTCGTAATTCAGATATCAGAAAGATGTGAATACAACTCCTGTATTTTGAATGACAATTAATATAGTTTTGCTATTAATGCAAGTAAATGAACTTGACTCATATCATTTTCATCTTCTTAAAACTACTGTAATGCATTCCTTGTGAGGATGCAACATGGGCACTCAGCAGGCAGGTAAATGATAACACAAAAAAAATTGTAAAGATACATTTAAAGAAAATGGAAGAAGGCAGCAACTTCAGTTTTGATGAAGTACAAAACAGCATTTATTTCCTTTGTTTAATTTCCTCAGTGCTTTTCATGAACCTGGATGATAACAATTTATACTAGTAGGTGTATTCTGATGTTGGAGTTCAAATCTTAGCAGTAAGTAAAGACCATAGCACAGAAAGTTTGATTTTTGTTTTTCAAAAATACTTGACTTCTTTCATCTGTAAATCAACTTGAAAACCACCCAGTTTACCTTTTTGCTTCAGCTTAGAATTTGGAGCCACTTTTTCTTCATAATTATAGTACTGACATCTTTGGTAAAATGCCTTATTTTGATGCTCAGAGGTACTGTGTAAATTCAATTAATGATGCTAGAGGATATCCTGCTGCTATATACAAAATGCAGATTTTGAAAATATATGGGATGAGGTCCCTAGACAAAAGATAAGATCGATTATGTGAACTTAACAATAGAAAGTCAGAAGAGAGGTCACAGTGCAGGGAAGAGAGAGAGACTGACAGGTCACACTCTTCTGATAAAATTATCAAGCAAGATACAGATTCTTGGGTCAAACCTAATAAGCAATTTTATTTGAATCTTGCTGCTGCTGTTACATAATTACAAAGTGGGTAATAAATATTGTTTTAGGACATAACAGTATTTCTGTAATCACAATTTCTGTGCCACTAATTCATTAGATGTCTTTGTGGAAATTTCCTTTTTGTGTATTAAAAGTGTCTACTAGAGCAAACATTAATACTGCAACTTATATAGATGGTGAGCTCGATAAGGCAAAGACTCTATCTTATTCAAGTTCTAAGAATGCTCCTAATCAGAAAAAAGATCTCAGTTGAATTTTTTGTTTTTTGTTCTAAGGATTATTTTCATCCACAGAGAGATCAAGTTCAAAATTATTATTTTACATTACTAAACTATATTAAAATACCAAACTGAGATGATTCAAGACAAATTTATGTAACTATGCTAAAAGCTGTGTAGCAGCCACAAAAGGAATAAGCTGAATATAATTCAGAGAGAAACAGAGGCAACCATGACATGGCCTACAGCATCTTGAATCCTGAGGATTTTTCCAGGGAAAAATCTTGCCTAATGTCCAGAGCAAACAGCAGCCTACCAGCTGGTGACTTGGAAAAATCATATGATGATTTGGAAATCATAGAAAGAATAGAGTTCTGACAGGGTTATAGTTTTAGCATGGTTTCACACAAATGCACAGTAGCTGAAAGTTAATGAAGTAATTTGTTCTGTCTATTCATGCTGAAACATTTCTTGTTCTAAATGCTTATCTAATCCCTCTTTTTTTTTAATCAAAAGGACTTGTAGCAGTATAGTATTTGATCTTTTCCGAACAAATGTCTTAGTCAGAAATCTCAGATATTGAGAACATCAGGATGACCAATACCTTAAAAAATATTCTCCTGCTTAAGAAGTACTTTAAATTACTGAAGCAATGTTTATTTAATGTGACCATGAAAGTTTTACAGAGAATATAAATCCCCTACTTATATGATGCTATGCTTTTGTAGCTAATTAGATCTGTAAGTTAGATTTTTAAATAGAATCTTCAAATATTATTTATTTACTTTTCAAGTGATGTAGTAAAATCCATGACCATGTTCTACAGGCTTGCCTCACCATCTGCTAGTTAGAAATGTGGGTGGGGTACAGTAGTTGTTGACTAGCAAAACAGTTCTGCAGTCAATTTGCATGTTTTGGATCCACAGTGGTAGGGATGCCAAGCAGAGAAAGCACCCCATTCTTGTTCCTGTACACTGCCACCCCCAAACAGGAGGGTGGTGGGAGTACATATGGTTTGCTTAATTCAGATGACAACTGTGTATAAACTGTCATTGTCTGGTCAAGACCAGAAGGAATATGTGGAACCAGTCTTACTCACAAACATTCAGAATTTAAGACTGTAGCATTAGTATGACTTTTTTATTATTATTTATAAAGGCAGTACTCATCCTTTAACTTTTAGCTGAAGACAACTCAATTGACTGAAGCCAGACAGCAATGCTAATTAAATTTTAACAAACAAACGTCTACATCATAAAATGCATTCAAAACAGAATACAGAAAGGGGGAGCCCCTAAGAAATTAGAAAGATTTTAATTTCCATTTCTCCAAGGGCTGAGCTTACTGCCACTAAGCAGCAGTAGTGATGCTATTAGCCACAGCTACTAGAAGTGGCAGCATTTAATTCTTGCAGCTAACGTATTCAAGATAATATTTCTACTTTTCATCTAAGTTTGCAAATCAGTGGTGATTTCCAGCTTACATATTCAAGCTGAAAAAGCTTACTCCAGCATCATTATGTTAAATGTAAGAGAGTCCTTCACTAAACAAATGTCCATAAGAAATGCAAGACTAAATTCTTTTAAATTAAAGACAGAATTATATCCATAGAATAACCATCCAAATACTCAGCATTCTTTAACAGACAATTTTATAATTGTTTCTTAGAAAGGTCAACATACTAGCACTGCTTTTATTCTTAACAATAGAATCTTCTAAGACCATGGCCTCAAAATGAGCCACTGCTTAATCTAAATAGTTGTTTTTCCTTCTGAACTCCTTTTTAATTAATTGTAATTAAATTAATTCATTTTAATTAATTAAATTAAACTAATTAATCAGTTATTTTAAATACAGAAGTGGTTTCCCATACTACACCACATTTATAATTGGGAGTTAAAAAAAACCCAATAATAACCAAATCTTGTCAGTACAGTGCTACTTCTAAAACATCAAACACATCAACACATTTAAACAAACAACCTCTACATGGCCTTGGAGATAGTTTTGCTGTCAAGCTTTCATTTATAATTTTGCTTACTGATGTTAGTTTACCTTTTTTTTTGTAACACTTTAAACAGAGATTTAAATAGACTGTATCTAAGTTTGCTATATTTGCAGTACCACACAGCTATATGAAAGATGACTATCCTCATTAGATTAGCTCATGTCCACATTAGTTATCAGTGGACAGAAGTGCCAAAATGATAAAAGAAATCCTAAATTTGGAGAGGGAAGAAAAGAGGAGATGAGGGAATGATGTTTTCAAAACAGCATTAATTTTCTAGAGCCTCTGAAGCTTCTAAAGAATATCATCAATACTTTCAGGCTGACTTTACATGGGACAAACCAGTGAAGATTTCCCAAGCTGCATTTTCAAAACAGCATTAATTTTCTAGAGCCTCTGAAGCTTCTAAAGAATATTATCAATACTTTTGGGCTGACTTTACATGGGACAAAACCAGTGAAGATTTCCCAAGCTGCACAGAACTTCAAAGAGCCACTCATGACTTGGTGCAGTGGTCACTGGTGCTTCTAACAGGTGTAGAAACACACTGGCACAGGGCATCCTGCAGTAGGAGGAGAACTTTTAAATGAGACTTAGTTTCAACTGGACAGTTAGGAACACATGAAAAGAGCAGTGATCCTTCAAGACTGACTCCCAGAGAATGTGGTGGTTACAATGAAAGGCTAAACAACGAATCATCTGCCAGTGCTGAGGATTTTAAAGTTACTGCTTTTAGTCTTTAACTTCAATTCATTACTTAAACTTTGATGGAGAATTCCAGCAATAGGTATTAGCTATACAAACACTCATGCCTAGACACCAAAACTATTTCAGGAAACAATCCAAGCTGAAAATAGCTGGAAAGTAGCAAACAATGCTTATCCCATTCTTTCTTATCTAAGGATATTATTTTTTTTTCCCACTGTTGGAGACAGGACGGTAGGAGAGATAGTAGACAAGCTTGCCAAACCCCTTGTATGGGGTTTTTTTGTTCCTTTGGTCCCAAATGCTAAGAATATCTGCAGCTTCTATTAACTTCAGGTAATTTGATATCTTTGTTAAAATACCTATATAATAACACTCACTTGCAACGGATAGCTTTACTACTTGCTGGCAGGACTTACCAAAGCAAAGCAGAGAAAAGAATTTTCACAATCTTTGTACCTATGACTGCCATAATTCACTATAAAAATGAAGCCTGCTGTTCCCTGGCCCAAATAAAGAGGGATTTATCCAGCATCTTGAAAATCATCAGAGGTGAAGGCTACACAACCTCTCACTTCCATATTTGACTGTTAGAATGAAGGGGAAAAAAAAAATCTATAGACATAAGTTAGAATATTTTCTGTTTCAAATCATGTCTATTTTTTCAGAAAAGCTCCAAGACCACAAATTTCAGTGCAAAGAATGAAAATGCTTCTATTTGGACACCATTTCTAGGTTTCGACAAACGCATCTGTATTTAACTAACACTGCTGCAGGATAACATGTGAGTATTTGGAAACTACTGCAAAAAAACCCCCTACATTTACTCTAGAATCAGTTCTCTGAGTCACAGAAAGAGAG